TCAGGCCTGCTCCTCCCAAAGGATGCAGCTGCCACTTACTGAGACGTGGAAGACAGAGTCGGGGGCAGGAGACAGGTCTGTGGGGAAGATTGAGAGCTCAGTTTTGGACTCAGAAATTTGAGCTGCCTATTGGACAGCCCGGTAGAGAGAGGGGCTTGAATGCCCACAGGCTGGAGGTCAAGGGAAGGGGCTGGGCTAAGAAATAACCCTGGAAGTATCTAGATGGTACTGCATGCAACCACCAGGGGGATTAGTCCTGAGGAGTGAGTGCCAGTCTGGAGGTCGGGAAGGGGAACTGGAAGCAGTGAGGGGGCTGGACAAGGAGAAGTCAGAGAGAAGCAGAACTCCAGGAAACGGTGGAAGCCAAATTCTCAGCATCCTCCTCCTGCTCTAGGATCTTGTGTTGGGCGTCTCCAGGACCACCCTCAGATTCACCGATTTTCACGAGGGGCTCACAGAGCTCAGTAAAACTGTTATGCTCCCAGTACTAGTTTATTACAGCAAAAGGAGAACAGACAAAATCACAAAGGAAAAAGGCAAGGAGACGGGGTCCAGGAGAGACCAGGTGAGAGCTTCCGGTTGTCCTCGCCCAGCAGAGTCACAGGAACAGGGCTTCATTCTCTCATCAGTGGCGCATGACAACACGCAGGGTATCAGCCACCAGGGAAGCTCACCTGAGCCTTGGTGTCCAGGGTTTTTAATGGTGGTTGGTCAGGCAGGCGTGGCTGGCTGCCTACATGGCTGATCTTAGTTACTTAGTCTCCAGCCCCTCCAGAGGTCACACTGCCACTTCAGGGCCCCACCATGAATCACATTGTTAGCGCAGACTATCGGGTGTGGCCCAAGCCCCTGGTAAACCAAGATACTCCCGTCAGGCAGGATAGTCCAAGGGCTTAGAGTTTCCCTCCCAGGAGCCCACCACTTCTTTGGAATGTGCAGGGTTTGGACAACCCAGGCCTGCCGAGTTAACCCTTTACCGCTCCTGCCCCCCTGTAGCTCTCCTCTTTGCTTCGATGAGGGGCAACATCGGCCCCTCTGTGTCAGGCTCATCAACTCCTTCCTACAGAACCGAGGAGCAGCTGCCTTCAGCCCCATTTGCAGAAGCAGAAACTGAAGCTCCAAGAGGGCCCAGATGTGCCCAAGATCATACAGGTCCCAAGTGGCAGAGCTCGGATTTGCACCCCTGTCTCCTGGCCTCCAAGCTCTTCTTCGGGGCACTTTTTTAAAAAGTTATTTAAAAATATATTATTATATAAACACTTAGATATATTGAAACAGAAGGAATATACAGTGAAGACAGACACTCTCACTGAGGCAGCAGATTTTAAACGGAGACACTGAGAGGGTTAGGTGGAAGCACCAAAGGTGAATGAGACACTGGGTGGCCATTTGCTGGTGACCTAAGTCCGTTGAGGGACCAGGCAAAGAACAAGAAGAGCCCAGTTCAGGCGCCAGCTTTGTCGTTCACTAGGCGTGCGGGTGACCTTGGTAGGTGACCTCTCTCTGCTCCTCCTTTCTCCTACGCATTTATTCATTGAATTCACTCACTAGATATTTACTGAGCACCTACTGTGTCCCCTGAATGGTTCCAGCCCCCAGGACACAGCGGTGAGCCTGAGATGTGTGTATCTGCCTCACGGCGTCATGTTCTAGTGAGGGAGACAGACCCTTGACAAGGTAAAGAAGTAAAATATGTTAAGAGGTGCTAAGTACCATGGATAGGGGTGCCAGATAAAGTACAGAACACCCAGTTTACTCATTTCCTACTGCTGCCATAGCAAATTACCATCAACTGGGTGGCGTAAAACAAGAGGTTTATTCTCTCAGAGCTCAGGAGGCTGGAAGTCCAAAATCACGTTGTTGGCAGGGTTGGTTTCTTCTGGAGGCTCGGAGGAAGGGAACCATCCTATGCTTCTCTCCCAGCTTCTGGTGGGTGTCGGCCATCCTTGGCTTGTGGACACATCACTCCAATCTCTGTCTCCATCTTCACATTGCCTTCTTCTCCGTGTGTCCTTTTCTGTCTCTCAGGAGGACACTCTCATTGGATTTAGGGCCCACCCTAATCCAGTATGATCTCACTTTGATCCTTACCTTAATTATACCTGCAAAGACCCTATTTCCAAATGAGGTCGTATTCTTTTTTTTTTTTTTAATTTATTTTATTTTTATTATTTTTGGCTGCATTTGGTCTTTGTTGCCGCACGCGGGCTATCTCTAGCTGTGGCGAGCGTGGGCTACTCTTCATTGCGGTGCGTGGGCTTCTCATTGCTGTGGCTTCTCTTGTTACGGAGCACGGGCTCTAGGCATGCGGGCTTCAGTAGTTGTGGCATGCGGGCTCAGTTGTTGTGGCTCGTGGGCTCTGGAGCACAGGCTCAGTAGTTGTGACACACGGGATTAGTTGCTCCGCGGCATGTGGGATCTTCCCAGACCAGGGCTCAAACCCGTGTACCCTGTACCGGCAGGCGGATTCTCAACCACTGTGCCACCAGGGAAGCCCGAGGTCGTATTCTGAGGTTCCAAGGGGACATGAATATCTAGAGGACACTATTCAACCTTCTATACCCAGTTAGATTTGAATTTCAGATAAGCTATGAATAGTTTTTTTTTTAAGTATAATTATGTCCATGTAATATAATCCTTATATATTGCATAGGACATACTTAAACTAAAAAATTATTTAAATTATTTGTTGTTGATCTGAAAATCCAATTTAACTTGATGTCCTGCATTTTATTTCTTTTTGGCTAAATCTGGTAACCCTAATTAAGAAGAAAAAGAAATCAGAGGTATTTTTGCAATTTTAGGTAGGGTAGTCAGGGAAGGCCTCAGTGAGGGGGTGACATTTGAGCAGCGACCTGAAGGAGGCCAGAGCGAGCCATATGGAGATCTGTGGGAATGGTAAGTGCAAAGGCCCTGTGGCAGGGGTGTGCATGGTGTGTAAGGAGGAACAGCAAGGTGGCTGATGGGGCTAGAGCTGAGTGCCCAAGGGGGACAGGGCTGAAGATGAAGTCAAAGAGGGGATCCGAGGCCAGATCCTGCAGGGCCTTGTGGGACACAGTGAGGACTTTGCTTTGACTCTAGGTGAGGTGGAAGCCAGGGGAGGGTTCTGTGCAGAGAATAGGCGTGAGCAGATTTAGATGACAACAGGCACCCTCTGGTGGCCGTACCTGGAACAGATGGGGGGTGAGGATGGGAGATGGGAGATGGGAGATGGGAGATGGGAGATGGAAGCTGGGAGCTGGGAGTCTGCACTGAGGCCACCACAGCAGTCCAGGGGGTGAGAAGTGCTCAGATTCTGGATCTATCAATATTCTGAATGTGGTGCCATCAGGATTTGCTGATGGGCTGGAGAAAGAGAGGAGTCCAGAATGACCCAAGGCTTTGGGCCTGAGCACCTAGAAGGATGGGCTTGGCCTCTTCTGAGATAGAGAAGATGGGGGGTGCCATGGGGTGGAGTGGCGGGGCGGGGGGAAATTGGGGAGGGAGCAGGTTTGCGGAGGAGTTTCAGGACCCCAGTGTGGGACATAGAGGGCCTGAGAGTGGGGAGGTGGGGACGGTCATGAGTCAGACGCTCTCCCCTCTGTACAGGGATGAATTCAGACTGTGAAGGCGAGGGTCTGTGTGAGTGGATGTCCACACTGACCTTGATGTCTGTACCAGGGTCTGTGTGCAAATTAGAAGAAAGCACCCCTTACCCTAGCCTGGGGCTGTCTAATATGATAGTTCCTATCTACACGTGGCTGTGTAAATTTGAAATAATTGAAATTAAATAACAATTTAAAATCCCATTCCTCAATTACATCCACCATGTTTCAAGTGCCCAGTGGCCACCTGTGGCCAGCTTCAACCTATTGGACCGTGCACATGGAGATGTTTCCATCATTGCAGGAAGTTCTATTGGATGGTGCTGTTCTATACCCTTTATTTCCTTATGAAAAGATGATAAATGTCTAGGTCTGCAGCATCTACAATGATACAATTTAGGTCTGGTACCTTTGGGAGGGGACATCTAGAATGGTTATTTTGTTGGAAGATAGGGATTAGAGGATGTTATTTTGTGGGCTTGATGTTGGATTTGAGGCAACTGTGACATCACTAAAGAAATGTCAAGTGGAGAGTTTGTATTAGTTCCTATAAAGGCTTACCTGCTGTAACAAGCAGACCCCATAAGGCAATAGTTTCAGGGAGGTGGAGGATTCTTTCTCTCCCACTTAACAGCCTTGTGGTAAGTGGGCCAGGGTGGATAGACAGCTCTGTTCCACATGAGATGATGCTGAGATCCAGGTTCCTTCCATCTTGTTGTTCTGCCAACCCCTTAGGGCACTGTCTTCATCTCTGTGGGCTCAGAACTGGGTTGTAGGCAGAAGAGCATTCTAAGCTGGTAGAACAAGGAAAGAGTGGAAAGTGCAGGGGGGGCAAGAAGTGAGGGAGAAGGTGTACCTGTCACTTCTGCTCACATTCTATTGATGAATTCTCTTAGCCACACCTAGCCTCTCAGAGGAAGATGGGAAATGTAGTCTATCTGGGCAGCCCCATGGTACCCCATGGCCGCCTTCACCTCTATTACTGTGGCAGAAGGGGAGGACAGAGCTCATGCACTGGAAATGGGTATTAGGTCTGGAACTTGGAGGAGAGGTCCGAAATGGAGATGTGGGTTAGGTAGTTATCTGCGCAGAGGTGGTGTTTAAGGGCAAGGGGATGGCGAGGCGGCTTAGAGCGAGCTTGAGAGAAGAGAAGGGAAGAGGGCCTAGAATCAAGCCATGGGGTACCCCATCATTTAAAGGATGGGGCCAGGAGCATCCTTATGTGTACCCACAATCCCTCATGCAGTGACCTAGCTCATTTTTCTCCTCTCTGACTCTCTCCTCAGGCCTTGTATGACCCCATCAACCCTGACAGGGAGACCCTTGACCAGCCTTCACTTACAGACGCCCAGCGTCTGTCCAATGAACAGGAGGTGCTTCGGGCTCTGGAGCCCCTGCTGGCCCAGGCCAACTTCTCCCCACTCTCAGAGGACACCCTGGCCTACGCTCTGGTGGTCCATCACCCTCAGGATGAGGTCCAGGTGCTTGTCTTCCAGAGGAGAACCAAAACTCCCAGGATGCCTTGGGGTAGGGGTGGAGCCTTTGGGAAGCAGAGGCTGCTGGGAGTTGTAGTCCTGAACACAGGGCACCAGCCCTTGTGGCACCTTTGGTGAATTAGAAAAAGGCGCCTCTTTCTCAGATCACTTCACTGCCATCTGTTGGAAAAGTATCATAAGATACAGGTCTTCTTAGGACTAGAGACTTTATCACCATCTGCCAGAAAACCAATAGAGCTGTCCTTTGATATGGGGGGGATTGGTTCCAGGACCCCTGTGGATATAAAAATCCCCAGATGCTCAAGTCCCTTATGTAAAATGGCATAGTATTTGCATATATATATGCACATCCTCCTGCATACTTTGTCATCTCTGATTACTTATAATACCTAATACAATGTAAATGCTATGTAAAGTAGTTGGTGGTACACAGAAAATTCCAGCTTTGCTTTCTGGAACTTTCTGGAATTAAAAAATTTTTTTCTCCATGCCGTAGTTGGTTGAATCAATGATGTGAAACTCACGGATATGGAGGACTGACTATAATAAATAATATCAGTACAAAATACTCACCATTAAAGTCAACAAAATTAGGGAATTCCCTGGCAGTCCAGTGGTTAGGAGTCAGCGCTTTCACTGCTGGGTGCAGGTTCCACCCCTGGTCAGGAAACTAAGAAGATCCCATAAGCCATATGGTGCGGCCAAAAGAAAAAAAAAAGTCAACAAAATTATAATAAAAATACTAAAATCTTCCAGATTTCCACATTTTAGTGATTTTTAAGATGTGCTTTTTTTCCAAAGTCATACTTTACTGTCTCTGAAATTGGGATGTGACTTACAAGGGGTAGTGTGAAATAGTTTAATTGGCAATATATTTTCCCTTTTAGTTGCTTCATAAAATAATAAATTATAGAGTATCTTAAGATCAGTGGCATCTTAGATTCTAGGAAATACGGTAATAAAGATGACTGTGATGTAAATGGCACCATCTTGGGTGGTGTGCCCTTGTGCAGTATACAACATGAACAACCATACATGGCTGTTCTGCCTACACACTGGGTGATGATAAACCTGGGAAGTGGGGGGCAGGGGATCATCGGGGGCAGGGGCATCTAATTTGAGTATCCCGCACTCACACCCCAGCTCATGCTCAGCTGCCGCTGTTTCCTTCTTCCCCCTTGGCAGGTGACGATAAATTTGGACCAGTATATCTACATGCAGTTCTGGGCCCTGGGCCAGCGAGTTGGGCAGATGCCCCGTAAGTCCAGCGTGGGCTTCAAGCGTGGCTTCTTCAAGTCGCCCCCTGCAGAGAGGTGAGGCAGCCCTTGGTTCCCCAGCTACAGTGAGAGGGAGCAAGGTTAGAGTCGAGAGGGGACTGACAGGTCAGTGTCTGGATTTGGGTGTCTGGGACCTGGGTGGGAAGTCAAGAAAGGGGGAGAGGTGAATCAAATACTGCCTTTTCTTTCCAAGGAGAAGTAAGAACTATAATTCCCAGGGGAAGAGAAAGGGTAAGGACATTTTTCTCCATTTTCCAAATGAGGAAAACTGAGGCTCAGAGAGGGAAGACCAAATTCTGAAAAAGTGGCACCGCCAGGATTCTGATGAACATTATGTTTTTAACAGATATTCAAATACAGAGTAGGGTCAGGAGAGCCAGACCTTCTCACAGTCGGCCAGTGGACCTGTCAATCACCCAATCCTTCTGGAAATCAGTGTATCAAATATGGTTACGAATCCAAAAACAAAACACAACAAAAACCAAAGACAAAAAGTCTCTTATATCCCTTAAACCAGTAATTCCACTTCCAGGAATCTATTCCAAGGACATACTTATACGTGCAGGCTCTGTGTTTAATTATCTGTCTCTCATGCTGGACTATAAACTCCACAAAGGCAGCTCCACAAATTCAGTGTTGTCTCTCCAGAGCTAAATAGCACTCCGTGGCACCTAGCAGATACTCTGAAATATATGTAGAATTTGAATTTGAAAATTAAGTAAAGTAATAAACTATAATGTAAAATTAAAAAAAAAGAATAGAGGTATATACATACATACCTGTGTAATTAAATCACTTCGCTGTACACAGGAAACTAACACAATATTCTAAATCAACTATACTGCAATTAAAAAATAGCAAAAAAGATAATTAACTGAAGAATCTTAGCTCTCCTTTATCAAGTTCTTAAAATCAGAAGCAGCCTATGTGTCCAATAATAAGGGATTGTATCATGTCACTGATCCCTTATTGTTGGACACTTATGTCTGACTTTCCTCCCACCATTGTTAATTAGCTTTTATTTATTTTTTATTTTTATTTTTTAGAAATTAACACCTCCTTATTAATTTAAAATATTTTGACCAGTCATTTTTCTTTTCATTTTTAAACTTGTATGTGTATGTTGTTAAATTATTTATTTATTTATTTATTTTTGGCTGTGTTGGGTCTTCGTTTCTGTGCGAGGGCTATCTCTAGCTGTGGCAAGCGGGGGCCACTCTTCATCGCGGTGCGCGGGGCTCTCACTATCGCAGCCTCTCTTGTTGTGGAGCACAGGCTCCAGAAGCGCAGGCTCAGTAGTTGTGGCTCACGGGCCTAGTTGCTCCGCAGCATGTGGGATCTTCCCAGACCAGGGCTCAAACCCGAGTCCCCTGCATTAGCAGGCAGATTCTCAACCACTGCGCCACCAGGGAAGCCCTGTTAATTAGCTTTTAAAATGATGATGTGACTACAGAGCCAGAAAGAGTATCCTAGGGTTGGAGTGGGGCTCCCTGGGGTGGTCCTGACCATCCTTGCCCCTCCATCTCTGGCCATCAGGAGATACTTTAAGAGGGTGGTGCTAGCAGCCCGAACGAAGCGGGGGCACTTGGTGCTGAAGAGCTTCAAGGACATGCCGTTGGAGGGCCTGGAGCAGCTGCTGCCTGAGCTGAAGGTACGCACGCCCACCCTGCAGCGGGCCCTGCTCAATTTCACGTTGGTCGTCTCGGGTGTGGTGTTCTTCGTCAATGTGGGCATGGTGGTGCTCTCCGACCTCAAGATGGCCACCTCCCTGCTGCTGCTGCTCTTCACTGCCTTCATGGGCCTGCGGGCCTCCAAGGTAAGCGGCCCACCTCCCAAGCCTGCTCCTTGGTGTTCAGCCAGGTCAGGCCACCCTATCGTTTTGTTTCTCTTTTTGTGGATTATTCCTGCTTCGTGCTGTGCTTCCTTTCCTTTCCTTATTTACTCAACACAACCTTGGGCAGGTTTCTTGATCTCTCTGTGCCTCGACTTCCTCATCTGGAAAATGGGTGTAACAGCAAGACCTGCCTGGTAGGGCTGTTGTGAGGAGGAAATGAGTGAATCTGTGAGGAACACTGGATACAGGGCTGGCATGTGGCTAGTGGGATACAAGTGTTCACAGCCACTCACTGCACGCTTAGTGATGTGGGAAGGGTGTGTGTTTTAGAACCAGACTGCCTGGGTTTGAATCTAGTTCTACCGTGTTCTAGCTCTGTGACCTTTTTTTTTTAGCTTTTTAAAAAATTTTTTGGTGGCCACACCGCGTGGCATGTGGGATCTCAGTTCCCCGACCAGGGATCAAACTCATTCCCCTGTAGTGGAAGCGTGGAGTCCTAACCACTGAATTTCCAGGGAAGTCCCTAGCTGTGTGACCTTGAACAAGCTGCTTAACCTCTCTGTGCCTCTTTTAAGTGGAGATGACAGTGGGGGTTGCTGTGAGGAGTAAATGAATTAATACGCATACAGTGCAGAAAACAGAGCCTGGCACATAGTACAGAAGGTATTATATGAGAGTTCGCCATTACCATTATTACTATTATTACTGACTGTGCTCTTGTCTCCTGAGTCTGGGCTTCCCCATCCTGGTCAGGTGTCACTATCACCAGGGGAGCTATTTTATAAATGCAGCCTCCTGTGTTCTAGCCCATATGGACTGAAGAAACTCTGGGAACAGGGCCTGTATTATTAACAAGCTCCCCTCCTGATTCCGCTACATGTGAGCGCAGGGCCGCCTCATCCAGTTGTGCAGGTTGTTCACCATCCAAGGATGCGTGGCCGAAGGGACAGTTGGGGGGCTGGAATCCAACGTGCTTTGCTTGCTGAGCCGCGAGCTCTGTCTCGAGGCTGAGGCGGCCTCAAGGGGCTGCCTTTTACTGTCTCTCCCTAGGGTTGGCACTGGCCTCAGGAATGTGGACTGGCATGAAGTGTCTGTTGTGCCCGATCATTCACTTGCTGGTTCATTGGTTTTCAAGCTGTTTTCAGCCATCCCAATGGGCTCGTAGGAAGCCTGGTTAATAAATCCCACAGATAATAACCAGCTTGCGCTGGCTGAGAGGGTTGCAGGGGTAGGGGGGAGCACTTCCTACCTAGAACCAAGGGTCAGGTGGGATTGGAGGGAAGCTCTGAAAGGCGGGGATTGAGCCTTTCAGGGGGCTGGGTGAGCACAGCTTGGGGGGATCTCACAGTGATGGAGTCTGGGGTGCAGCGTGGTGAAGTGAGGCCCCAGAGGGAGTGGTGAGGGCCTTGAATGCCAAGGCAGGGGCCCTGGACTTCGTCCTCAGGGCAGGGGGCTATGGAAGGGCTGTAAGCATAGAGGGCGTGTGGCAACCACGGACAACAGAGGGGAGGGTGCCAAGCTGCTCTGGGGAGGACATACACAGTTCTAGCCCAGGGAGGACCATCCATGCTACCTCTCAATGGCCCGTGGGGACGGAGGGTCCTGAGCCTCTTGGGCTCTGAAGCACCCAGTTTAAAACCCAGTTCACTAGTTAATTTACTGCATCCCTTAGACATTTTCCCATGCCCCAGGCTGAGCCCCCATGCCTTAACTTTACCATTTATTTATTTATTTATTTATTTTAAAATTTGGCTTGTGGGATCTCAGTTCCTCAACCAGGGATTCCGCCCGGGCCATGGCGCTGAAAGCACCGAATCCCAGCCACTAGCCCACCAGGGAACTCCCTCCACGCCTTAAATGTGGGGCTCCCTGGCCTCTGTCCAGCTGCCCGCACAGCATCCATCTTCCCCTAAACCCCCTTGTCCTCCCGAGTTCCCCGTCTTGGGACAGATGCTCAGATCAAACACCTGGGAGGCTGATTTTTGCCGCAGGATACACATCCCTCTTTCTCCTTCCACCCCCCCCCACCACGAAAGATCTCGTCCACTTCCATGGTTTCCACAAGCAGCTCCCCATCATCTCCTAGATCGGGGTGCTCTGTGCTCAGCCTGAAGCAGCCAAGTTGGCCAGGTGGAGGGCAGCATCTCTCCCACACCTGCTCTTCCTCCTGGTTCTCCATCTGTGGTTGACCCCGTTGTCCCCCAGTCACTGGCTAGACCCCTGGAAGTCGCCCTGGCCCTGCCCCCCAACCCGTCAGTCCTCAGCCCGTCCTTCCTGCACTCCCCCCACTCCAAGTCTCTGTGCCCATCTCCTCTCCTCTATCCTGGCTCCAGCTCAGACCCTCTTCCTAGCCCCCCCGTTGGTCCCCTCCAGCCCATCCCCATTGGCCCCGGGGCTGGCCCTGCTTCTCCCTTGCTCACACCTTGGCATCGGAGACCTTGCTTCCCCAGCCTCATCTGACACAATTCGAAGCTTCAGCTCTACCAAAATATACTTGTAGCTCCTCCCCCTGCTTCTCTTTTCTCCTCTCCCTTTGCATATGCTGTTTCTCCTTCTGCAATGTCCTATCCCTGTTATTGGGCTGACCAACCCTGCCTCAGCCCTTACCCTCAGCTCAGAGGCTCCAGAAAGCCCTCCCAGACTTCCTGGGCTGAGAAGGCTCCTGCTGTACTCTGGTTCACTGGGGGCCCCCTCAGCCCAGCACAGGGGAGGCCCGTGAGGCAGCCTGAGAAGGGTTATCGAGCTGGCATCCCAGAGATGCTTCAGGGCCGGGCCTGCCCTGGAGGGAGAGGTGCGGGGCACACGGACGGACAGCCACGTGCCTGATGGAGGTCGCAGCGGGCCCTGCTGGAACCCGAGGATGCATCTGCTCATCTGTGGGAAGCGATGACCACCCTGAACCTTGACAATGAGGCAGTGAGTGTTTCCCAAGAACAGCTAGAGCTGGCTTGGCCTGTTCCAAGGCCCAGAAGCCTAAGAGAGCAGGGTGTGCTCAGGGCAATGCTTGGGGTAAAATGACTAATTCAATGTGGGCTGCGTTCAGAGGGGAGAAGCGGGAGGTGAGTGGGAGAAATCCTCAGGGGCCAGGCCATGGAGTTTGGACTCTCTGAGGGCACGAGGGAGCCATGGGAGGGCTATGAGCAGGGGAGGAGCAGGGTCAGTTCTGGGGCTGTGCCGAAACAGGCTGGAGCGGGGAAGACTGAGGCCAGGCAGGAGGCTGGGGCTATGCATTAAGTGGGCTGGAGGGGAGGGGACCCGGCAGAAAGAGTCGAGGCAGGAGGATGGAGCCAGATCCTGACAGGCTGGCGAGCAGGAGGTGAGGATGGTGCCAGAGGTCTGGCCTGTGATGGGGTAGATGGTGGGGCCACCCCAGGTAGGGACCCCAGGGCAGGAGGAAGCTGCGCGAGGAGCCGGGTGAGAGGCGACACCACACTCAGCGCGGGCCGCGTTGAAGGGAACGCCAGGTGGCCAGCGGTGAGCCCTCTCCAGGGAGCGGTCCTGCCTCATCTGCATGCCGCGGAGAGGCACGACCTGCTCACTTAACCTGCGAGAATTCTACTCCATAAGCTTGGCAGAAACAGGCACACAACCCAACGTGTTTTTCATACCAGACAGTCCCGAACGCACGCAATTCCTGCGTCTTGCCCCCAACCAAAGAAATGAAGATTTGGTCCAATGCGGGGACGTAAACCAACTGTGCTGGCCATTTCAGCGATTTTCCAGGGCTGCGTTCATTTCAGAGGCGTTTCGCCTCAGGTCTCCGAGTAAGATGGGCAACACTCTATGGGCAGAAGATACTTGTGTTTCGAGGACCAGCATCCAGCAAGGGGTGTGGACGAAGATGTGTAGCTAATGTTTAAATGCTTGTGACTGGCCAGTCTTTGTGCCAAGTGTTTTATTAACTTACGGAGCACTTCCCTGTCATCTGCCTTGGTTCACAGACAGAGCTACCCGAGGACTTAGGTCTTAGCCACAGCCTCACGGGTGGAGGGTGTCAGAGATGGGACTGGCATCCAGGCCTGTGAGTTGCAGGACCCAGCAGCCTTGAACTCATTTGGTGGATGAGAAGAGAAATCTGGGTGGAGGTTCTGAGTGTGAGCCCCAGAGGGCACTGGTGGGCTCTCATTTCCCTCCTTAGGGACAACAAGGTTGGGGAAAGGGGTCCAGGTGAGGCGGGGCCAAAGGTGGGGAAGGGGGCCAGCCAATAGACAGCTGGGCCCCAGACCTGGCACTCCCTCCCTTCTTCTCTGAAAATGCTCATCAAGTATTTGTTGTCCGTTAACACTTCTCTTTGACAATTTAACATTTGAAACCTTTTTTTAAATTATGGAAAAGTGCAAACAGATGCAGAAATAGAATAGTATAATAAGCTCCCTTGTAGCCAGCACCAGCGTCAACAGTTAGCAACAGTCAATCAGGTTTCACCTAAAGACCGCCTCCCCGACCACTGGATTATTTTGAAGCAGATCCTACACGCGTCATCTGGGAACACTTCAGTATGTGTCTAGACGATAAGGATTAAAAAAAAAAATCATTGTAACAAGAAGTGCCCAGACTAAAACTTCTATAGTCCGGAAATCCTCGAACACATCCATTAATACGTGGCTCAGGTGAGCAAACCAGGGGCGAGAGCATGTGGGTTAAACATACAAATACCCAGGCCCCAGTTCTGGGGACCTGAACCGAAGACGTCTGGGGAGGTCCCTGGAGCCCTCAGGAAGGGCTGTACCAGCGTAAGTGACCCAGGTGTGTGTATATGGGTGAGGGTGCGTGCTGGGTGGGTGGGTGGGGGTGTGTGTGTGGAGCCCCAGCACGGCCCTGACCCTCGGATCTCGTCTGGCCTGCAGATGTTCGGACAGCGGCGCAGCGTGCAGGCGCTGGAGCTGGCGCACATGCTCTACTACCGCAGCACGTCCAACAACTCGGAGCTGCTCAGCGCCCTGGCCCTGCGCGCGCAGGACGAGCACACCAAGGAGGCGCTGCTGGCGCACAGCTTCCTGGCCCGGCGGCCCCGGGGGGCGCGGGGCCAGTCGGAAGAAGGTAGGACTGCGAGTGCCAGGTGGCCCCACACTGCCCTGCCCCCTTTCAGCCCCGCCCCATCCCAACGCTGCCTGGCTCAGACGTGGCCCCACCTGGAACAAACTCCACCCTGCCCCTACCGGGTTGAGACTACCGTTAGTCTCAAGTGGCCCTGCCCCAGTGAGACACCATCCCCACGATGCCCACCTCCCAGTCCCGGCTCGCGGTGGTGAACCCGATTCAGCAGTCGGGACCCCTGACCCAGCTTCTGCTCTTCCCTGGGGTGACCTCCCTCTCCTAACCTCAACCTCGATAGGAGTCTTGGATCAGGCTCCTGTTGTGGCATGCTCCCCACTCCCCGCCCGCTTCTTCCTGTACGTGAACCCAAACACTTCCTACAAGACACCCTTATCCGTTACCTGTGTAAGCGCCCTGAGCAAGAGTCCCTGGCTTGTCCCCAGACGAGAGCCCCAAAGCTGAGCCCCCTAGGCTTTGTCCCACTCCCGTAGGCTTCTCCCAAACCCAGACCCCTCTTATTCGTTGTGCTGCGCCCTCCCTGCTGCCCCCTCTCAGTCCTTCCACGTCTGTCTGACCTCCTCACAGCACCTGCCTCTCCCTCTGCAGAGACCTCCCAGTGGCTCCAGTCGGAGGTGGAGAACTGGCTTCTAGCCCAGTCAGGCTGTGACGTGGCCTTCAACGGAACTCGGGCCCTGGCCCACCTGCAAGCCCTGACCCCCAGCATCGGGATGTACCCGCCCCCGGGTTTCCCCAAACTAGACCCGTTGTCTACTATCACTTCCCCCAAGGCCGCACCACCCAGCACTGACGACCCCTTATCGAAACCTCTCTGTCCCGCCCCGCCCAGCCAGCTGGTTGGGAACTAAGCTCCGCCTCCTCCTCGACAAGCCGTCAATCATGGCTACGATGCTTCACCACAACTTCCAGTTACTCATTACTACTTAACGTTACTCTGTTTTCTTAAACAAAGTCGCCCATCAAGGCAGCCTGCTGTTGCTAGGCCCCCTCTTCGGATGAACAGCCAGTCAAAGCTTTTAGGCTCCGCTTCTGTTCCATCTTGGTCCCCCCGCCCCCCGCAAACATTTAAACGTGGTGCCAGCCAATCACAGCTGTGCAACGCTACAAACCACCAGGCACAGTTGTTAAACTGTGCCCTCCCGAGGCTATCTATCACTGTCTTTTTAGCCTGTACCGGGCAAACTGCCCATCGTGTTCACCGAGGCGGAACTCCAGCCCACGTCCAATGAGAGCCTTTTAGCCCGGTTCTCTGGCAAACCGCCAATGACAGCTGTTGGGCACAACCAACCTAGGGCAGCCAGTTGTCCCTCCATGGAAGCAACCAATCAGAATTTTTAGAGGAGACCTGATCTTTCTATCGATTGCAGCTACTTATAAGGGCAGGCCATTTGGTCAACTGTCGATCAGCTCGTCCAGGCTGAAGGGGTTGAGAGCCTTGTGCCTGCCAGGCAGAAAGCTGGGCCAGGAGGAACCAGAAACTATCCTCACCGCAAGGCTCACGTCCACTCACTCAGGCGCCTTCCCTGCCCAGGTCCCTCACCCTTTCTACAGAAACTACCTCAGCCTGGATCTTGCCTCCACCAGTGGCCTGTGCAGTATTTATTGGTCTATCAATTTCTCCCCTGTCCCCTCTCCCAAAGGAATAAATCATGTTTCATAAATCTGGATGAGTCGGGTGGCCGCAGGGGTTGGAGAGAAGGAAGGCATTGGAATCCTGGAAAGAAGAGACTCTGGGTCTTGGGGGAATGCATTTTGGGTGGGTCCCGGGCAAAGAAAGCTGTAGTCCTAGAGAGAGACTGGGCTTGGAGTTGGTGAAATAGACTGGCTGTGGGTCACAGAAGAGGATCTTAGGGAGGACCTGACTCCTGAGCAGAGCCCTGGTTCCCCAAAAGACTGAGTCTTTTGAACACAGAAGATAGGACAGATTGTTCACTGCACAGAGACACACAGCCGGGAGATGGGTTGGTGTAAAAGCCAGCCTCTCCCCATCCCACATGTGTCTTGATGTGGGGTTGAGTAAGCCTGGAGAAGGGGGGGTGTCATCTAATTTTTACTAAGGTGTCATATGGATTAGAGGCGGCATCTGGAGAGGGTGGGGGAAGAGGGGTTGGGTTCCAAGAGGGAAATGGAAAAGAGTCTTCTCAGAGGAAGGGTCAGAGGGAGAAAAAAAAGAGACCCAACTGTTACCAACCAGGGTTCTTGGCCTCCTTAATCAATAGAAATTGATCAGAGGCCAGATAAGAAATTCAGGCAAGGCTTTATTGGGGTTCCTGCTGCAGCAGGGGGGGGAGCGAGAACAAACAACAGTTTCCCTTGAAGTGGGGTGAGCTAGTCCCTTCTATGGGGTGAGGGTAGGGGTGTGTCCAGGGGTTGGGCCAGAGGGGTGGCTTAGGTGGCTTGCCCACCCCTTCGGTGGTGTGTGCAGTGGGTGGTGTGTGCAGTGGGCATGCGCAGTACCCTGCTTTTGGTCCTGGTTCTTCAGAAGTGGCAGTTGGGCTTTTTGGTCTCTTCGTATCTTGTTGTCCAGAATTTGCCCCAAGTGCACATGCACGCAGTTAGTCCCTTATAGTTTCTTCGTATTTTGTAGCTGGAGGAAATATTTGTCCAGGTGCAAGCAAGGTAGCAAAGGGTCCCAGGTCCCAGCCTGTCTAACAGCAATCTAGAACAAGACACACAGCCTCGCTGGTTGAGAGAGAGAGACCCTCGGCCAAGGAGAGAGGACTGGAAACACAGATTCCTGGTTCTTACCTAGAAGTGCCTGAAGGTCTAGTCTTGGGAGGAATCCTGAGTTTTGAGACCGGAGGGCCCGGGGGCCTCGGGTCTGTGGAAGGGGAAGAAGGGCTGCTGGGACCATGGGCTCCCGTATCCCAAGTCAGAGAGAGATGGGGGCCTGGAGCTAGACGTTCTGAAGACCAAGCTGCTACTGACGCGGGCTGTCCCCATTCAGGAAAGATCGGGCACGAGCAGCCTGGGTCCCAGAAGAAGGAAGGAAGGAGGCAAAGGTAGAACGAGCGGTTAAATGGTTTTATTTTCTGGAGGCGGGGTGGGGGCTTCGGGGTGAGGTGGAGGGGCCGGGAGCCGGCTGGGGAGACGAGGGGACGCGCGGCCCTCACTCCCGCTTCCGCAAGTGGATGTAGATGATGCCGCTGGCCAGCGCGAGGGGAAAGGCCACCCAGGCCAGGGCGAAGCAGTAACCGAAGCTGCCCCCTGACGGGCGCTCCGCCAGGATCTCCTCGGCGTGAATGGCGTAGATCAGCGCCCCGGTAAACACCGCCACGCCTGTGGGGAGATGGGAACCACGCGTCACGCAGGACCCGCACAAGAAGACTGCATTTCCCAACAACCCACGGGCCAAAGAAGCCGCGGGAGGGCGAGTGCGCAGCACCGCTGCCTGCCGGGAGTTGTGGTTCGCTCCCCCAGCGCCGTGCCTCGGGGCCACTGCAGACTGGCCTTGGGCAATTTAGTTAAATTTTTCGGGCCCCCCCTTACTCATCCATTAAATGGGACGAAAATACCTACTCATCCATCCATCCATTCAAGGAATACTTCTGAGCACCTTTCTACAAGCCAAGCGCACAGATAGTGAATTAATAGAACGAGAGGGAACCCAGAAAGATAATGTTCCCCCAAACTGATGAGTATGATTAACTTAGTCCTTTGCACCTGAAGTCAAAAAGCTGAAAAGTACATAAAACTCCCTGAAGTGTCTGATACATAGTAGGTCCACAAGAAACAGCAGCTGGCTGACATGATAAAACCACTACTATTACGATTCAGCGTTCTCTCCTGGCGTATTAATTAGCTACATATCCCTGCTGGCCCCCCGTCATCCCTGGGATCTAAATTATTTGTCCACACCCACTTCCCCAGCCCTGGCTCCTTGAAGCCCTAAGTGCCAGTTCCCCCATAACTCAGAGCTGCACACCACAAACCACCAAGTCACTGAAAACTACAACTCCCCTAAGTCCCTGGGGCAGAGAGGTAGCCAAGGGAGGAAGCTCAGGTGGTCTTTGGGTTGTTGAGAATTGTTTTCATTCATCAGATGTCCATTCCCAGCTCCTCCCCCCACACACACACACATCCTCACAGGCCTCCTCCCTTCCCTTCAATTCCCAGGGAACAGTGCTCACTGGTGCAAAGCTGGCAGAGGCCAGTGGCATAGAAGAGCCCTCCTCGCCGCATGGTGTAGAGCTGGAACATGAACAGGATGAAGGACAGACAGCAGAGGATGAGGGAAAGCACCATGAGGACCTGTACCGCCTTCAGCCAGCCTGTAATAGGAGACAGAGGTGGAAGTCACAGCAGGTCCAGAGTTCCAGCTCCACCTGCTTGCTCGTCATTGCCCCACCAACCCTTCTTCCATTTAGAGACATACAACCTTAGATACTTAGTAGTATCACTTATATCGACCTCAGTTCCTGTAACTTTCCTAAATTCCCTTATCAGTTCTAGAAGCTGTTTGCAAATTCTTTAGGATTTTCTATATAAAGATGTTCACTGGGAATCAAAACATTTTTACTTCTTCCTTTCCCATCTTTATGCCTTTTATTTCTTTTTCTTGCCTTGTTGCTTTGGCTACCTCCAGTACAATGTTGTATAGAGGGAGAGCAAAAATTCTTACTCGCTCTTAGGCAAAAAGCATTTAATCTTTCACCTTGACTTCAAAATTTCTATGGATGCAGCTCCGCCCCTTTAGAACTCAGATGCACCTGGCCCCACTTCTTTAGAACCTTAGAAGGATTCAGCCTCACCTCTTTAGAAACTTAATGTGGTCCACCCCATTGGAACTTGGAAAGATTGGTCCCAGCCACCCCTTCAGAACACCTGTCTCCTTAGAACTTTGGAAACATAATCATGTCTTCTCAGAATCTTGGGAGCTTTTCCCCCTTTCTTTAAACCTATAGCATGTGGCCTCCATTCCTTCTGAATCATAGGGAGTGGGGCTTTTAGCCCATCCTCTTTAGAATATGAGCATACTTCCCCCTACCATCCAGATAGATGGGTCATCATACATCAGCTTCGGTCACGCAGCATGGGGACCCAGACCCGCCCACTCAAACCTTGGGGGGTTCTCAATCCTTGGTCCTGGGAGGACACTTGGGGTTACCCCTCCCTTTTGCAGACCAGTTTCCAATGCCCCTCACCCCTCACCATTCTCGCTGACATTACTGCAGGCCCACGTTTTGTTGTCACTGTTCCACGTGCAGTCGTACCAGAGATTCAGGGACTCCTTCCCGGGGAGGGCCCACCAGGACTGGGATGGACAGAGGAACAAGGACAAAGTTAGGGAGACTAGGAAGGGTTAGGAAAAGGGCAAGGTGCCATGGGAAAGCATGGATTTAGTAGGAAAGTGGGGCAGGGGGGAGGCACGTAGGGTGGAGGCAGAGCTCAGAAGGGTGAGTGCTAGGGAAAGGGGGTGGGGCCAGAGTGACTAGCGGAGGGGCGTGGCAGGAGTCTGCGGGAGAGCGGGAGGCTCCTACTCCAAGTAAGCTTACCTTGTCCAAAGTGGCCACGAAAAGCAGGATGAGAATGAGGATGTGAAGGGCAGAGACCACCAGCAGGAGGAGTGACATGGCTGCGTTGGAAGCCTGGGTGGGGACGTCAGGAGACCATCACGTCAAGAGGTTGGCACAGGGGCGGGGGACATGTCTGAATTCTGGTGGAGAAGGGGGCTGAGTCCAGACTCCCAGGTCTAATGGAAAAGGGGGCTAGGAGCCCCGGACTCCCGGTCTGAGAGAGGAGGAGGCTGGGCTCCAGACTCCTGGGTCTGAAGGAGGAGGGGGCTGGGGGCCCGGGGCCCGGACTCCTGAATTCCCCAGGGCCTGCAGGGGGCCAGGGATGGACTCAC